TGCTCGTTACCACAATAATAACGTAGTTACTGTAACGCGTTACTGCGTTACTTAATAACGCGTTAGTCCCAACACTAGATATCAGTCAGCCATATAGGTCATTTGTGCTGGGAGCATCTGGCAGAGTCCCCAGTTATTCATTGTTTTTTTATTCATGCAGGTAAAAGCATCATTGAGATTAGAGATTTCTTTTTTTCAAGAGAGACCTGAATGTCACAAATCACCCTGGTATGGATATCCAATCTATTCTCAATATGTCCTGGGATTGCTCTGGGGCTACCTTCGGTAGGACATGCCTGGAACGCCTCACTGAGGAGGTTCCCAGGATATCTGAACCACCTTGTGGTTAATGCCAGTGTGATTGAGGATTTATTTAAAGTATTACTTCTATACCCAACTGTATCCTGAACTAAGTGTGCCATATTTCCATGGTTGCACTGCTTTCCTTCCTGAGTCACATGGTCATTTGTCAACCAAAGGTTTTGTGACATGGAACCAAACTTCTACCACACCTGAGTTTGTAATTAAGCGATTGCCAGAGTTGCACTCCCCTTCATTTATTGGTACCTGTCAGGTACAGGCTAACCAAGCACAATAGGACTGCTATTATTTTCACATACAAGAGTCTGATTCTGGAATTACTGCAACAACAGGCAACAACCATCTTGTTTTCCCCAGCTCTATATATCCACTCCAGCAATGGAGGTGCAGAATAACAGCTAAATCCTTCTGTGCATTTTAAAGATCTTGTCCACCTCTTCATACCTTTCTTCACTTCCTCCACCTGTCCTCGTCTCTCATTTTTGATTTTCTTTGTTATGCAGATGATACACAGTCCTATCTCTCCCTAAAACCAGGCATTGATAGCACATTGCAGAAAGTTTCAGATTGTCTTAGTGACATAAATTGCTGGATGTCTTTGAACTTTCTCAAGCTAAACCATGACAAAAGTGATATTACAATTTTTGGCAAACAAGCCTCTGTTAGTCTCACAAGAAATGACTTGGGCCCACGATCAGCTAATCTACATCCCCATGTTAAAACTCTTGAGGGATCTAGCTTCAAGCTGTACAAACAAATAAATTGAGTTGTTGTTGGCAGTTTCTTCCAGCTCAGGAGCATTTCTATCCTCAAAACTATCTTGTCATCTAAAGATCTGGAAACCGTTATCCATGCCTTCATTTCATCACATCTTGATTTCTGTAACTCTCTCTATTTAGGTGTCTGTCAATGAAGCCTGTCCCGCCTGCAACTTGTTCAAAATACAGCCGCAAGGCTCCTGACGGACACCAGAAAGAGAGACAGTATTACTCCAATACTCACATCTTTACATTGGCTGCCAGTTAAATACCAAATTGATTTCAAGGTTTTATTATTTGTTTTTAAAGCCCTCCATGGCTTGGCTCCAGCTTACATTTCAGATCTCCTTAGCCTGCACCTACCCACTCGAACTCTGCGTTCCTCCAGTCAGATGTTTTTACTGGTTCCACGCTCCTAGATAAAATCCAGAGGTGACAGGGCTTCCTCCATCGCTGCTCCGAGACTCTGGAACAGTCTTCCTCTTTTATAAAATTGTCTTCCTCTTTGGAAATCTTCAAATCAAATTTGAAGACCTATTTTCAAAGACTTTCGGATCTGATGCCGCTTTTGTTCCATTTTAGCTATTCTGGTGTTTTATCTCATTGGATCATTTATGCACATGTATATGTATACATGTATTTATGTCCACGTGCGTACCCGTGTGTGTGTGTGCATATATGCATGTATATGTATGTGCATATGTACTGGTACATATATACTTGTACAAACAAATGTATATAAGAGTCTGCTTGGGTGTGTGTATATATTTGGATGTTTTGTAATGCACATTTATTTTAATTCTTTCTTTTATCATCCCTGTTCAGCACTTTGGCCGATACTTGATGTCCTTTAAATGTGCTATACAAATAAAGCTGACTTGACTTGACTTTCCTATACTTCATGATTCCACTGCTAAGTCTCCTTGTCCTTTTTCTTCTGTCAAGAGAATACATCGAATATGTTCCTCATGGTTTCCCTCACCTCTACAATTGTACTTTCCCAGTCGTCTGGTAATTCTTGCCTACCACCCAGATCTATCTCAACTCCTCCCTGTGCAGCATTCTTCCTCCTTCAACTTTCACCTTTTTCATCAGACTTTTTTAATTCTTCCCTTTGCCTTCAGTCGCTTCCTCTTCTTCTTGATTTAAAAAAGTCTTGATTCCTCTTCTTAATATTCAAAGTACTTTATATGTGCAGTATCTCATTATTAGGACATTTGGCAAATTCAAGAGATTAATTTCATTCAAGAGGTAATGGCAATAAATACGAAAATAAATAAATAAAGACTGAATTACATTTGAGGAAAACAAGAAAGAAAGAAAAAATCTCACCTGTAGCATTTCCATAGAAGACCGTACTGAGCACTGAAATGAAGATTGAAACCTGATCAGATTTTGTTAAACCTGTTTTTGATGAAGTTAAGGAATCACTCAATATAATTATATTGAAATAAACTTTAAATGTGCTACATTCAAGACAAATTGTATTGTCTGGAAATTTACTGTAATTCTCATAATTCAGTTCAGTTCAGTTTTATTTATTTAGCTTCAAATCACAACAACAGCCACATCGAGGCACTTTACATTGTAAGATAAAGACCCTACAATAATACAGAAACATGTTCAATAATTTGTGATACTCATAAGACACAGTTATTAATGTACTCACATAATAAATCAAGCATGCAGAACAAAGAGTGCCTCATTGTCACACCCAACCCTGCTGCAGTGCTAAAGTCAACGTGTTCTAACGGTGAAGCTGTTTCCTTGTAAAGTGTCTTTGTGCTTCCTTCCCCTTTATAATGAGCTCATAGAACTATAAACAGCTACACAAACCACAGCAGCACCGTTCCACTGCTGACATTTGTTGTCCACATCAGCTTGCTTCTTGTGCCAAGAAAGGTTAAAACAGTCACATTATGTTCTGCATTTATTTATGTAATTATCATTCACAGTGATCATAGCACTACTTTCTGGTTGCAGCGGTTCCCATCATTGGTAATTCACTATGAAATACATGCATCATCTAAACTACTAGGTGGACTAGTGTGATTACATTTGTTTCCTCATTACAATATTAAACATCAGTAAACAATGAGGAAAAATTGCCATTTGTTTGCCTGACAAACGCACTCTTTGCAGCTTCTCTACACATCTACGCGCACACACACACACACACACACACACACACACACACACACACACACACAAAGATATGTGTCATGGCCATAGTCACTCCAGTTCTCTCAAATTTTTCATAGCCTTGCATTAACACTATGGGTAGTGCAGTGCAAAAGGAGCACCATTAAATTCCCACTGTGCTCTTCTTGACTAGATTCCTTTTTTGATCGTCTGCTTAAACATTTGGTGACCATAAAAGCAGCTCTAAGCTACAGCCTGCATTTCCTTTTCTCTAGATGACGTAATTCATCAGGTCACTTTCAGTACATAAAAATAAGTATAGCAGAATGGACAGAAACTACATATGCACATATGCAAAGCTGACGCAAAGAAAGTAGTACAATTTACTGTTCTGATTATGTTACTTTTATTAAAAAGAATACAGCATTTATCATCTGCAAAGTCTTGAACTCTACAGGTGAAGTTGTTATTGCTGACATGATCACAGTGATACAGTGATACAGTGCTCCCATCAAAAGTCAGAGAGTGCAACACTGTCCAAACAGTAACATCCGATCAATTGTTTAACCTCTTATCTAATTCAAAGTGACACAGGGACAAAAAGTGGTGTACATCTTGGAAAGGTCGCCACATTATCAGAGGGTCAACATAGAGAGAGAGAATCAGCCATTCTCAAGCACATCTTTGGTCTGTCAGAGGAAGTCAGAGTAAAGTTTATTCTGGCTTACTCTGTAGGAAACTCCACAGAGAAATATATGAGCAGGCTGTGGTTAGTACTGCGAGCCAAGTGTGCTAATCATAGATAGACATTTAATTTTAAATATAAAAAAAAATGTCATCCCACACATAATTCTCTATCATCTTGATGAAGATGTTGGAAGGGACTGGGACCAGAACAATGAACCTTAGGTACCTTGGTTGGAGGTCAACTGTAGCAGCGCAGGAACACAGAGGCCCTTGGAACTCGGTGGCAAAAAATCCATGGCGTCTGGTCCCGGTTGCTCAGGGCCCATGGGCTCTGATTCTGTTTGTATGGGATGACTGGTGACTAGAGCAGCACTGAAGGCTTCAGAGATGACTCGGGAACCTGGAGCTGCTCAAGAGGCTCTGGTAGCCTGGGTTTCTAAAGCTTGAGCTGCACAGGGCTCACAGATTAGCAATTATCCTGGGCAACACAGGTGGGAGCTTCTACCTGGAAGAGGGAGCTCGAAGAGTTATGGTTGCAGATGACTCAGACTAACTAGGTGCAGAACCACCAATGAACTGCTTGGTATCATCAAGCCAGAAGAGCTGGCCAACATTGAGTCAGGAATTTCCAGAAAAATGGGCAAAGGTGAGCTCCCCAGACATGCTGCAGGTCTTGGGCTGGTAACTACTACTTCAGCATCAAGAGCTTCTTCATCGTGCGAGATGCAAGTACTGGCAGAGAAGAAGAAATGGTGAGCATGGAGGATGAAGAGTGAGGGGCTGGTGAAAGGCTAAGCCTGAGCAGAGGAGAAGTGGTGGACCAGGACATCTTTCTACATTGGTGCTGCAGTGGTGGAGAGAAGCCCTGTCAATGTGTCAAATCTTTTCGTCCATTTGCTTCACCAAGGACAGATCACACAAAGACCCCTTTAACAGCTCATTTGGAAGTACAGAGATATGCTGGTCATTTGATGTAGGGCAACCTACGTGGATATGTAAATGATATGTCAATTACAGATAGGGTTGCCAACTTTTAAATATCAAATAAGGGACACTGTGGCGTGCCAGAAGCACAGTGCACAACAAGCTGGGCATAGTGTAAAAATGCACTGTGTGTGACATTGCGGGTAACCATCAATTTTCATGATATTTGGTAGAATAAGGGACAAACCAATTTTGCTCATTATATGGGATCTGCCAGCTGAAATGGGACAGTTGGCAACACTAATTACAGAATACCCATATGAGGTCCTATACAGGCCCAGACTGAGTGTCATGTTGTGCTGTTTTTCTGTTCCTGTCCCTGAATCCTGGTTTGTCCCTCCTGGGGACAACTCTGTTTCTGCCTTTCTGCTCCCAGCAATTCTCCGGACTCCAAAAAGAACATAGATTGGACATTTCAGTTTCTCACTCTTCCACTTCGTCAGCCGGTGAGTCACAGACAGTTGTTCTGTGTCTATGCTCTCTGTCTACCAGCTGTCAGAGCTAAAATATGTTTTCCATAAGCTTGTACAAATTCAGCTTAGATTGTTCTTTGTCATTTTAGTTCTGTAGTCAAAGAGATGAAGATAAGGTCTTTCATGACTCTGTGAAAAGCCCCGGGCAGATATTATTTTTGGGCTTTGCCACCACACTGAACTGGAGCAAACACAGCATCTCACATTCTGTATGTTTATATGTATGTATCTCTCTCTCTCAGACACACACACACACACACAACCACAGACACACATATTATAATATGAACGCATATTTTCATGGAGAAAAAGCAAATTATTCCATAATTGACATCAACAGGTTCAACCTCTTGGTGGCGCTGTCACTTGGTGTTCGCTCGCTCTGCGGTAGAGTATCACTTCCTGTTCCTGCTCAAACACAGTGGTGTTTCTGAGTAGCTTATTTGCTTAGCAATTTAATTAACAACTTTTAAATACATTCTGCTTTCATAGTATAATCTTCACGTGCTTCATCCGAAGCA